AATAAATACTTGCTTTTCCTTCGAATATTGAGATCAATCTATGTAAAGGAAAAAAAAACAAGTGTGTCTAAAATCATACCTATTATTGATTTGAACGTCAAGATTGATCTAAATGAGAAAAAAGAAATAATTTATGTAGAATTATACTTTCGGTTATGTCTATAATATTTTTTTTTTATTAATCAAAGCAAATAATAGAAAACTGCTGCTTGCCGGCATTTAGCCGACGATTTTAGTGGAAACCAATGATTACCGGTGATTTTGCCAAAAAAAAATAGACGACATGGATTATCATATGAGATTAAATTATCGACTTTACGATGAATTTTTGTGATATGATTTATATTCTTATTTTTCTTTGTTTTGTTTTCTCTACTATTCATACAATTCTTGGATAAATTACATTGATGAATCATTATATATATATAACTATGATTCAAGTTTAGTTACATTTCTTTTTGTCTGAAATGGTACATCATTATGTTTAAATTGATTAGATATTTTTCTTTGAATAATATACTATATAAAAATGTTAATATGATAAAATAGTTACTATAGAAGGTATGAAATAGTGTGACAAAAATATACTCATCAATAATAAAGACGATAGTTTTCCTTGATTTGTGATTAATTGGTAGATTTTCCTATTTGAAGGAAGATTTTTAAGATGAACGGTATTGTGAAAACAAGAGAAGGACAGCATATCTTTACTTGTACTTAATTTCACTGAACTTATTCAAAGAATATATTCATAGCCTGATTTAATCAAATCATTAAGAATAATATAATGATAAATGTTCTAAAAATTTGAATATAATCAATTGTATTAAATGATCATTATCAGATTAGTTAAAAAAAAAGAAAACAAATATAATAATTTTGATAGTTAAAAAATAAATTAAAATATTGTTTGGTCATTATTGTTAAATGTTCATCGCATAGTCGATATAAAACTCTATTCTAAATAAAATTGTTAGTGTTTTTCTTTTGCTTTACAAAAAAACAACAATATATTTATTTAGATTTTATATATGTTTTTTTTTTGTTAAATATAATAGTTAGATAATAAAATAAAATGTCGATTGAAGAAAAAGACGAAAATGTATTTGAAATAGTTTGGCTTGGAAACTCATCAGATAAAATAGTATCGCAAATGAATATTAGAAATAAATTTACAGATGATAATCAATTAAAAGAATATCTTATTGATAAAATCGATGGTTCAATAATCGTTATTCTATCGAGTAGTATATCATTCGATATTCAATCTCTAATTGAATATTCACAGCTTTGTGCTATTTATGATGAAAAATTCGTTTGTTTATATTGTTTACCTGAAATGATGTCATCAGTTGATATATATTTGAAAAATCAACAACAAGATAAAATAAAAAATAAATCGAAACAATCATATTTATCTAATATATTATTAATTATTAGAAAATATTGGTTTCTTGTTGGTTTATTTATATCAATATTATTAGGATATTTATTTCCAAATATTGGAAAAACAGGTGGTTATATTCGTTCAGAATGGACTGTTAAATATGGTTGTATTATATTTATTTTCTTTCTTAGTGGTTTATCTCTTGAAACAAAACAACTTACGAAAGAAATATTTCATATTCGT